TCCCCCCCACCCTGCGGGCCATCATTTCATTTTTATTGTTTTGCTTTTTTTACACTGATTTTGGGGGGGCAGCCCTGGATATTCCAGTTCCCACAAAATCCATGGAATTGTAAATTGAACAGACCATTACATATTATTACTACTAGAAATGAAAACAGCCCTTTCTTCTGCAAACAGAAACGACAATAGCACTGACAACAGATAACATACCAACATTAAGAACAGGTAGGTTTTATCATAAAATACTCTTATTTCCTTCCCATGTAGAAGTAGTTCTAGACACGATATTTCTCAGAGCTTTTTGGTATGATGAAATAAAATTCACTGTTACTACAACAGAGTTTACAACAATAATTGGCACAAGTTTCAGACTAAAAGACAAATGCTGTCAGCAACTCAATTTTGTTTGTATTGTAACTATTTACCTGAGCTGAGAAGTCAATTAATTTTGGAAGAAACAATTTACTTCCTTCATCACTCTTCAGAAAATCCAGCAAACTGCCTGTTTCAATAAAGAAAGAATAAGTCAGCAGTTTACAAATAAAAGGAAGTTCATCACTAGCCCTGTAATTAGGCTGCCAGTTTTCCAAGTATGTGAAAATATTAAATTGGATACAATTAGCTAAGTTTCTTAACATGCTTTTACAACAACATAGAACAATACCCATTTTGTTTTGTTGTGAGAGCGGGCTGTTTTATTCTGGTTTGGGGTTTTGTTTTTTGGTTTTTCCTTTGAGTCACAGATATGAACAATTGATTTTCCCATTTTTAGGGATATCAGAAAAGCTGTCCTTAGGGAACTGCCTGTAATTACCACTCTGTTAACCATATTATGATTTAAAAATGCCACAAAACACATCTACTCAAAGTTACCTCTTGTTCATAAAGACAACAGAATAGCCCTTTGATGAAGACATGCAACTAAAGTATCCATTCATAAATAGTTTTATTTTGTGAACCTTCTGCACTGTGTAGTAGCTACCTAGAAAAGCCTGGTTGTCTCTGCATGATGGACAATCAATGAAACATGTTGGGTAATTAATGAAAATGTTAATGAAATGAAGGATTGCTGCATGTAGTTTGCTTTAACTATTTACACCATTTTGGTGAGAGATGATCAGTCACACTACCCAGAGTGACCACAGATATTAAGGAATACACTGAGGATGTGCCAAAAAACTTTATTTTAGCGACTTTGAGAAATTTCTGACATAATGCGACCTAAAAACACTGTAGGCATAAAATAAAAATCGTTATCCTTCAGAGAGAGATTCTTGATCATTTAAAACCAAAATCTGCAAATGTGTAAAATATGTGCCTTTTTCCATTGTTTGTTACTGGGAGTAAATTTATTACATATAGAATATTTAACTCTTGATGTTGCATCAGTAGTTCTCACCTTTTGCCATGAATTCTGTTATTATATAAATAGGTTCTTCTTTGGTGACTACTGCATACAGCCTGACTAACTTGTCATGCTGAAGCGTTTTCATGAGGTTGGCCTCCTCCAGGAATGCTTGCACTGACATTGTTCCAGTCTTCAAAGTCTTCACAGCAACTTTTGTACTATTGTTATAAAAGCCTAGAAAAGAAGGAACCATCATGGCTCAGGAATCATTCAGCAGTGCGCCAACTGTTAGGAAAGCTTGCAAACTAGACAAGAACTCAAGGGTAAAATCTTGGAGGTAAGTGTTCCTATATAGCACATTTGAATCATCAGTGTTATAAATTCTTATTTTTCAAGATGCACTAACAGATTATTGCTCTACCCACTGATGTACAGTGTTCTATTTTCCTACGTAACTATGCAAAAATAATATAAAAGTGAGACCATTTTTATTAAGGTTCCTTTTGTGCCCTACTCTTCACATTACAACACTGCAAAAAAAAAAAAAAAAAACTAACAGGAAG